CTGTCAATCACTGGCTCCCAGGCTCGCAGTTCTCAATCTCTGTGATCCGGGCCCTGCCAGGCACCCAAGCGCAGCTTCATCAGCAAGCCAGGGGGGGACCTGGTTGTTCAGGCATTTGCTTTTAGATTTTCCTGTCAAGAACCAGAAATTAGTCTCTTTCCTAATGGCTACCACAAAAATCTCAAAGGAATAGCCACAGCCTCAACCAAAACCTGTCTTATGAGGCTGGGCCACTGGCTAGTTGGGAGTATCTCAACATGGGAGAAGCTGAGGCAGGAGACCTGTTGCAAGTTCAAAGCCATCCTGGACCACATAGCGAGGCCCTGCCTCAAAACAAAACAAAAATAGTTTTGGCTCCACTAAAGCAGCTGCAGTCCATGGCATCTCAACAATACCTTCAGCTTGGCGGGGGGGGGGGGGGGGGGGGGGGTGTTCTGAGGGGAGGCCCCTCTTACTCCGAACAGACACGCCCTGCACCATCTTGCTGGGGAAGGGGTGAGGAAGCAGTTCCCTTTCCAACAGAAAAAAGTGGATGACTTCCCGCTAACGTGGGAGAATTCTCTAAAACCATCTCCCTCCACAGATGCTTGGTTTTCCTCTTCCTGGGACACCCCGGCTCTGGAACACCTGGGCCCTTTGCTGAGGCGGTCTAACCAAATTTCTATGAAAACAGGAAAAGCATTTGGCCCCCAGTTCTGTGTGACCACAAGGCTTTTCTCAGTTCCTTAAGCGGCTTGCCAAGATCTCCCTCGCTGCCAGGATCTCCCTCGCTGTGCTGCGTTGTTTTGGGGAAATGGGACCTGTTGAGAGTGACAAGGCAAGCTGGAGGAAGGTGGGGCTGGAGAAAACATCTGCAGGCATCTAACCCGACAAGGGCCGAGTGTCTAGAGTAGATAAGGAAATCTCGGGCTGGAACGGCTCAGTGGTTAGGAGTGCTGGCCGCGCTAAGTTCGAATCCCCAGGCCCACGTTACAGGCATGGCTGTGTGTGCCTGCACCCCCAGAATTTGGGGGCAGAGACAGGGAAAAGATCTCCAGAGCCCTGGCCACCCAACCTAAACGGAGCAGCAAGCTGCAGGCCCAGCGGGAGACCCATGCCAGGGTGCTGGGCAGAGAATGATGGGAGGGTGCCCTCTCTTCTCCTGGCCTCCGTGAGTGTGACCTGGGCACTCATGTGCACGCACCACAGACACAGCCCGGTACACACACACTGACACACATACACACACTGACACACATACACACACTGACATACACACACCCCATGCATGTATACGCACAACACACACTGACACACACACACACACACACACACACACACACACACCATGCACACACACACTGACACACACACACACACACACACCCCATGCACACACACACACACACTGACACATGCTCACATACACATGTCCTACACACACAACTTTTTTTTTTTTCATTCTGAAAACTCAACAAGAAATAAAAGGAACAGAGAGGCAGGATTAGGAGGACTTGACTGAGGAGGATTTGCTGATAAAAAGAAGCAAAGCATGGCTCCGTGAGACGGCTTAGCTGGTAAGAGCACACGCACACGCACACACATCAATAGATGAGCCGGGCTAGGGGTGGCGGTGCCGGCCTGAGATCCCAGCCCTCCACACGCCTTTAACCCCAGCACTCTGGAGGCAGAGGCAGGTGGAGCTCTGAGTTCAAGGCTGGCCTGATCTACAGAGTGAGTCTAGGACAGCCAGGGCTACACAGAGAAGCCCTGTCCCAGAAAATAAAACAAACAAACAAAAAGAGATGTAAAAACTAAGCAAACTGGAAGCTGCACACCATTAGCCAGCAGAGCAACCCCAAATAAAACAGTAACAACCAGAACAGCCAAACGGCGGCGTGGTGCGTGTGCTGGGTGAGTGAAAGGGCATGAGAATCATGGGAAACAGCTTGGCGCTTCCCCGCATGTAAGTGGGTCCCGCTATGTGACTGAGCAACTGTGTTCGCGTGTGGGGACATGCGTTGCTCTGTGCCTGACCTGACCTGGGCAGTGGGCGGCTCGAAGGAAGGACAGACGCACAGACATGAGTCCAGAGAAGCTGGGACCGCACGGGCTGTGCTCTGACGGAGACGCACCAGCGAACGGGACATCGGCGTTTACTGAGGGGACAGCTGGCCGCGTGCCAGCTCGGCTCAGTAGGCCGAGTCTCAGGGCGGGTCCTGAGGAGATGGCTGTGCCCCACGCTCTGGCTCACACCGCCCACAAGGACCAAGGGAAGGCTGTGCCACCGCACGGGTGAAGGGCCGGGTCCTCGGCGCGGCCGGGCTCCCGCAGTGAGGGGTAGGGAAACTGTGCACAGAGCCCCCAGGAGCCTGGGACGACAAGCCTGCCGGCCTGAGCAACCGTGGGGGAGAGCCGGGCTCCTGCACGTGTCCTCGTGACCTCTCGAGCAGTGTGGCACCACACGAGGACACCAAGCAAAGCAAGTTTTCAAATCTTTACAAATTTGGCCTGAGACACTGAGCAGCGGGGGATGAGCCGCTACCGTGGCCAGCAGTGGGGGGGGGGGGGGCACCGGCCTCCACACAAAACCTTTCACCCAGTTTGTCCTGCCGGCAGGAAGTGTTTGAATAGAGACAGAGCAGAGGGTGAGAGGTGAGCTTTGGGCCGGATTTATTGCTATCGCTATGAACTTTCCTGAATTGATTTTCCTAGCTATTAAGCTGGATACTTGTATTTTCAGTCTTTAATTTTTGCTTGTTACAAACCTTGAGGATTTGCATTTTCCACGGAGGTTAGCATTAGCTATATCCCATATGCCTTGATATAATCCACTGATTTACAGATAGTTTTCTTATTGGCCCATGTAATATGAAAGAAAAACCAGCTCTTCGTTTACAGATAGCTAATCTCCTTGTCCAATTTCTGTGGACAATTTTAATTAATTTGTTTGTTTGTGTCATAACAGGCGAATGTAACCTTAAAATCCTTCCCTTTGGCAACTAGTAAGACTTCGCTGGGCTGGAGAGATGGCTCTGTGGCTAAAAGCACCCGCTGCTCTTCCAGAAGACTCGGGTTTGGCTCCCAGCATTCCCAGCACCCGCACGGTGGCGTGAAACCTCTGCAAGGCCAGTTCTAGGGGACCTGACGCCTTCTCCTGGAGGCCTCAGGCCTGCATACATGTTGTGCACAGACAGACATGCTGGCAAAACCACCACACACACGACAAATCAAAGCTCCAGAGAACAGGAAACTGTATTATAATTTTCCCTTTTCCCTAATATAATTCTCCCTAATATGCTTTTTAAACCCAGTTGGTTGTCACAACAGAGAAGCCAATACTGATACAGTGTTAACTGACTGGCTCCATTCCTTACGTTGGCTTTCACTCTTCTGTTGCAGGTTTTGACAAATGCATACTGACACAAAGCCACTCTCTCCAGCTCTGCCCCTCGGAATGGGATATAATTGGAGTTTATGGTTGTGAAATGTCTCCTGGAGGAACATAGGACTATTTCCCGGGAGACGGAAGAATTCTGTCTGGGAGGGAGGAGCAGGGAGTCTGGGTAGGCTCGCTAGGCCCCCTCTCTGAGGTAATGAACGCAGCAGCAGCTGCGGGAGAAGGTGGCCCTCTGAGAAGGGTGTGCAGGAAGGAGCTCAGGGACAAGGCTTCGGTGAGCCGTCATTCATGCTGGGTGGAGCTTTTCGGTGGCACGGCTGCCTTTCAGTCAGCCACATGCCTGCACTGAACCCCGGCAAACTCCACGGTTTCCAGCCTGGGCTTGGGTGGGGCCCTTCCTCTGCTCTGTCGTCTGGGATGGACGGACATTTGTTCACGTTTCCCCAAGCCAAGACTCACAGCGCTCCACGGACTCCCATGTCGAAGGTCCCCAACAGCTCGGGGGCTCAGGGACAGTGACAGAGCTGGGCCTGGCCGCTGTGGTTCCAGCTTACAGTGGGCTGGAGCCGTGCAGCTGAAGGCCGCGCTTTCTCAGATATTCTGCCAAAGCGAAAGGGGAGCCAGCTGACCAAAGAGCTGAGTGCGGAGAAGAGCGGCTGGCTGTCCTAAGCGGGCCTCCTCGGCTCTGGGGCCAGGAGATTCGGGAGCCCTTGGAGGAGGAAGACAGGGAAACCGGGGGCTGTGGAGCGAGGTGAGCGCTGGGGACGGGGTCAGAGGGCTGGCAGCGCGGCCGGGCAGCATGGGCAGCATCGAGGACTCTGGAGAACTGGCCCAGAGGCTGCTCGGGCTGCACATGGCAAGCCCCCAGGAACGCGGCTGTCCTGCGAGTGGACGTTCCAGCATCTTGTTCAAATGGGAGGCCGACTGCACTGCCTGAGGGGGACAGGAGGATGGCCACCCACAGTCTGTAACTAAACTGGAGACTCCTGACTCACCAGGAGTCTCCCAAAATTGCCAACCCCTTACCCTCCCTACCTTTAATTATTGCGTAGTAAATAATTAAATAAAACACAGCACGCTCACACTTCACATTTTTCTACAGCTGCCACATTCGATGAGGTAAAAGCCTGTCAGGGAGTGACGTCAGTTAGAAGATGAGCACAAGCAATGCAGGGTTAAAGAGAAACAGGAAGACAGAGGCCAAGCCGCTCAAGCCTCTGTTGCAGGTGTCCTGGAAACGCCCTGACAGGACGCCCAGATTAACTCTAGGGCGAAATGGAGGGAAGAGGGGAAGCCTGGTGTGTGTGTGTGTGTGTGTGTGTGTGTGTGTGTGTGTGTGTGTGTGTGGAGTGTGGGGAGTGTGTGTGTGGTGTGTGTGTGTGTGTGTGCAGTCCCTGACAACTCAGTTTGGGGAGATCTTGAATTCAGAGAACACTCCTCTCCCAGAATCCTCTGGGGCTGTGGGCAGCAGCTCCCGTCTAAGCGCTGGCCACCGAGGCACCTGCTTCCTGCTTTGATACATCAGTGTGTCAAGGAATGGTCCACAAGGGTTCGAGCCTTGTTCCTCCAGACCCTCTTACCTCCCTCCCATTTGCTCCGGTTCCAAACAACCAGGCCAGAGTTTCAAGCATTTGTTTCTTTTTTTTCTACTCCATTCAGAAGGTTGAAACTGGTAACAATCTCAATGAATTGTGAAGAGGTGTGAAATCCCGGCTTTCCCCAAGTGTGAGGACATAAAGCCATCCCCGTCTCTCCAAAACTCCCCAGAGCTCTGTCCCTCTTCCCTGCTTCAGAACCCCCAGTGAAGAGGCTGGGTGACATGGAAGGATGGGGGAGGCAGGGGAGCCGGGCGGAGGCGCCTAGTGTGTGACATTGCGCCTCTTTTCACACGCCCAGCGGTTCACCTGCTGGCAGAAGTTGTCATTCCAGTAGCCACTTGGCAAGATTTCGGCACAGTCTTCACTGCCACCTTCTTCATGCCCCTGCCAGTTGTCTGGCTGGGTGATGGCCCAGTTCCTAAGAAGGTGAGCCAAAGAAAGATGCAGCTTCAACCTCCCCACCTCCCACCAACCTGACCCCGCCCTGCCCCCCAAAAGCACAGCCTTGGAAGGGTGGGGTCAGGCAGAAGCAGGCTGGGGAAACTGGCCCCCGGGGCCCCACGGGAGCCCAGGGAGGTGAGGGCCGGGCGGCTGCAGGTGCTTACTTGTAGCTGCTCCTGTATTCCGTCCCGTCCACCCATTTCCAGGAGCCGTTGCGGTCGGTGAGGCCTATCCAGACGTGGAACGAGCCGGTGCGCTTCGCGACGAATTTCTAGAGAAACAGTGGGAGTAAATGGCTTCATTCGTCAGCCACGAGCGCATCCACGCCAGCACGCCCCACCCCAGCCCGGCCCGCTCCAGGCTGCAGCCTGGACACCAGCACAGATGTGCGAAAGGAGCGTTCCTGGGCGCGGCTTTGCGCCAAGAGCTTCCGAAGGAGCACCTGCTCTGAGCTTTGGTAGCTCCCCCAGTCGGCTGCCTGCCGTGGGGATTCTCACTCTGCAAGGTAGTTATTGGAACCTGGAAAGCCAGCCAGGCTCTAGAATGAGGCCGCCATTCCGTTTCCAGCCTGGGCGCTTCCTGCTCTGTCGCTTGGGGCCACTGCCATGGCAACCCCAGGCCCCTCAGCATCAGAATCGCGGATACTGCCCTTGCCGAGCCTGGACCTCCCACAGCGCAGCACCCTGGTTCACTCTTCTCTCTCTTGGTCCCTAGTTCTCTTGCTGTGGTTTTGATGTCACTCCCTGAGCTTTGCCAGGCCCCAGCCTCTCCCAGCTCGGGCTGACACCCAGAACTGCACTTTGTCTACGCAGGGCCTGACAGTCTCTACTCAAAGTAGGGATATGGCCAGTATGTACAGGGCAGGCGGCCCAGACAGGGACGGGTCAGGGCTTTGGTCTCGGTATCTCTGGGCTTACAGATCACCCCCGAGGGCTGAGACCGGCCCAGGGTGCGTGCTCCTACGTGGCCATTCCTGGGATGGTTTCAGGGGAATGTAAGATCACCGGGTTTCATCGAGGAAGCAGAGACCAGCAGCCGCTCCAACAATCACCTTTGACAGCACATGAAAACTCCCCGCCTGCCTTGGGAGGAAACCTGCCCAATTCCACTCAAATCCCCCAGAGCAAGGTTGCTTATGACAGGCACCCAGGCTGGAATTCTGCCTGCAGGCAATGCCCTGTGCATGAAGCAGCAGCTGCCAGGGCTGCCGGGGCTGAGCCACAGATTCAGAAATGCCAACAGGGATGGGGCAAGAGGACCTGGAGTTCCGATATTCCGGCCTCTGCTGCTCTCTAATCCCTCTTCCCATCACCAAAGAAGCTGATAACTTAGACAAATGTACAGGATCAAACATCCCCTGAGCTCAGGGCGAGAGGAGGGCCGCCAGGTAGTGCTGGGTGACCCCGGGAAAGAGATCGCTCTTTTGCACTTTCCTAAGTGAGCGAGAGGAAGTGCGCCCACTCACAACAGTGGCAGTGAGGAAATCAGGATGCAACTCACGCCCCGCCCCTCGAAGTGGAAACTGAGTGTTCCCGTCACAGGCAGCTGTGGACTGTGAACCTCTGGCAGCTGGGCACACATGCTGCTCGTTCCAAAGACCGTTGGTTGGGTTGTTTCTGAGGACCGACATGTGTCAGAGTCCCTGAGGCAGCTGGCTCTGTCTGTGTCTAGGGAGCGCAGATCCCTGGGTCGGCTCTGTCCAGCATGAACCAGGGGAAAGCAGGATGACTACAGGAGTTCAAGGTCTCCTCTGGCTACAGAGCAAGCCTAAGGCTAACCTGAGCTACATGACATCTGTCTCAGGAAAGGAGGAGGAGGAGAAAAGGCTGCTTTCTTCATCTTTCCTGCGGAGATTATATAAACTTAGGTTGTTTTTTTTAAGATTTATCTATTTATTTATTATTTATACAGTCTTCTGTCTGCACGCCAGCAGAGGGCATCATATCTCACTATAGATGGTTGTGAGCCACTATGTGTGTGCTGGGAATTGAACTCAGGACTTCTGGAAGAGCACCCAGTGTTCTTAGCCTCTGAGCAGCCTCTCTAGCCCTAAACTTAGTTTTTTTAAACTTTAAAAAATTTAATTACTTACTTATTTCAAGACAAGGTTTCTCTGTGTAGTCCTGGCTGTCCTGGAACTTGCTCTGTAGACCAGGCTGGCTTTGAACTCAGAGATCCACCTGCCTCTGCCTCCTGAGTGCTGGGATTAAAGGTGTGCCCCCCCCCCACCAGGCAGAATTTTCTTTATTTTATGTTATGTGTCTGGGTGGTTTTTCCTCCTATGTCTGTGTGCCATGTGTGTGCCATGTGTGTGCCCGGTGTCCGAGATGGTCAGAAAAGGGTCTCAGCTCCTGGAACTGAAGGTACGGACATTGAGAGCCATCGTGTGACTCTGGAACTGGATCTCAGCTTTCTGCACGAGCCACCACGGCTCTTAACTGCTGACCATCCTCTGGCCCTGTAAGCTCTTAGTTTCTGAAGCCAATAAACCTCAGCCCACCACTCAGAGTTAAACATGACATCACCACAGTACCCAACACTAAACTACCCACATTGCACAATACCGAGGGCGAAAATGGAAAGAGCACACCTCACAGCACACCTCACAGCAAATGTAAGGGGCTGGTGGGGCTGGTGGGAGGGCTCGGTCGTCAAGGGCATTTGTTCCATAACAGAGAGGCCCTGAGCTCAGATCCAGCAACTTCACAACAGGCACAAACACCCAGCAAACACCCAGGACCCCAGCTCCAATGGCAGGCAGAAACAAGAGCAGGTCTGAGAGTTCCTGGCTTTCAGCCTAGACAAAACATGAGCTTCTTGGTTCAGGAAGAGACCCTGCCTCGGGGAAGAGCGGATGACAAAAGGGGAAACCCAACACCCTCTCTGGCCTCCGTGCATGCACACGCAGAGGCACAGACTCCCCCACACATACTCACCAGTAAATAAATACACGTAATTAAAAACCTTGAAAACTGAACATAAGGGAGACACATCCGCCTATGAAAATCATCCCAGGTACTCAGGAGACTGAGGCGGGGGATCCCTTGAGCCCAGGGGTTTGAGGACAGGCTGAACAACATAAGACCAAAGAAGAAAAGAAACGGAGTCGGGGAAGGATGGAGGTGCGATGGAGGTGGGGGAGGCAGAAGTGAGGAGAGCTTCCTCGTGATCCTCCTAAATGCTGGGAGAGGCAGGGGCTGGCGCTGCTTACCCAAGGCTGAGGACGGCTAAAGTGAAGCACACAGACCCCAACCCTGTTGGGACCAACATGATGGGCAGAGCGGGACTGGGTAAAGCCAAGGACCACAGCCGAGGAGAGTTCAGGCACTGGCGGGTGCTCGGGACGGTGACGGCACAGTCCCCCACTGCGGCTGTGCACTTGTGAGCCAGACTGAGGTCAAATTACATAAAGCTGATGTTTTCTGCGTCAAAATGAGCTAGATGCTGGGACCTTCAACCTGATCAGCAAAGCAAGACGTGGCTGGATTACCGTGAAAGCCACTTGCTTAGCCCGACGGCGCACACTCACTCGGTGCGGCCTGTCTGCGTCCAGCCACGTCCAGACAGAAGAAAGCCCGCTGACCCTCTCGTGTCAAGGCAGCAGGGGAAACACTGACCAGAGAGGCCAAGGTCACCATCCTGCATGACCCTGCGCTGGCCCTGCGGCTCGTCGCTTAACTCTGTTCCTGGGTGTCCTGAGCTCCAAGTGGGGTCGGCAGGGGTGGCCACAGGGGGGCTGTGAGGACTAAAGAGGCGCTCATGAGCACGCCCAGACTGTGCTAGATCCTGCACCACCCCTCCTGTGCAAAGCTGCTCCGCCCGCCCCAGCAGGCTGGCTCCCACCGTGAGCTTAGGGACTGTCCGGGAACAACCGTGGAGAAGGAAGACACCACGGCCAGCGGGGACCCGGCGACCCGCCACCGGCGAGCAACTTAAGCCTTCCACTACAGCAGGAGGGGGCTCTCGGCCCCTCCACTGCATCCTGCATCGAGCCCCGAGCCCTAGCCCCAAAGTCACGTTGGCTGCTATTTTATCTGCTTCTGTGCCACCTGGTTCCCTGGCTCGGCCTCCGGCCTCCCACCTCTCAGGACCGGTTACCAGTCCACCACGGGCCTGACCACACTCTTCTTCTGTCCTCTTCCTTAGGTTAAAAATAAGAGGTTCCTCCAGGAGGAACCGCAGCCAGCTGCCGAGGGTGGGGCTTCCGTCCGCACTGGGACTTGAGCTGGCTTTATCGTGTGCAGCTCTCGTACATGCAAACACGCGCTGTTTGTTCACATCCAGAAACACACGTTTTCATATCAATCCTCGGCTTTGAGGCCCCGGCTGGATGCCCACGCTCCAGCGAATGGCCCTGTACCCAGGCACTGAGAACCAGCCGGACTCCCAGGTTTAAAAAGAAGAGCGTGTGACGCGGGGAGGGACGGGTGGCCTGGTGGTGCTGGCAGAATTTGGAGGAAAGAGTGAGGAGGGGATGGAGCTGTGCTCAGACTATGTCATATAAAACTGTGAAATTCTATCAGGAGGCAGAGGCAGGCAGACCTCTGTGAGTTCAAGACCGGCCTGGTCTACAGAGTGAGTTCCAGGACAGCCAGGGCTACACAGAGAAACCCTGTCTCAAAAAAACGAAAACAGAAGTGTGCGCCATGGCACACTCGCTAAATAACAGCAGCAACAACAACAATATAAAATAAGTAACAACAGGGAAATAACAGCAGCTGGCTCTGTGGCCCCGCTCAGGCCTCCTCACCTGCTCCTCCCAAGAGTTGATGACCAGCAGGTGCGCATTCTCCAGGCGGCAGTAGGCCTCAGCCTCGGCCCAGGTGAGCCCGCCCCGGGAAAACCAGTAGCAGCTGCCCCCGTGCTCCACCCAGTTGACCGGGCAGCACTCGGTGCCTGAGGGGACAGGCATGTGAGGCCCTGCAGGAGGCCCAGGCCGTGTCCCTAAACCCCAGGCCCCGTCCCTTACCCCCCAGGCCCCTGTCCCTACCCCCCAGGCCCAGTCCCTACCCCCAGGTCCCTGTCCCTCCCCCCCCAGGCCCCTCCCTACCGTTGCTCTGCAGGAAGGCCAGCTGACAGGTCAGGACCCGCAGGTCCGGGGGGAAGTGCTTCAGGTGAAGGAGCAACGTGGAGTGCTCTAAGGGACAGACGCACAGACGGGTGAATCAGACGCGTGGCCCCACGCCGGCCAGGAGCAGACACAGCCGCCCTGCTCCCTGGGGACCCACAGGTGCACAGCACGCCACACACTGGCTCTAGTGTCCCAGGAAGGGGGCTCTGACCTGCCTTCAGGTCCTGCTGCTTCTTGTCCACGGTGGCCGCCCAGGCGGTCAGCTTGTCGTCTCTGCCGCCTGCTGAAAGACAGGGTGCTCGTGGCTTCCCCGGCCCACATGGCTGGGCGCCCCTAAGCCGGTCACCCACGTGAGGCCGAACCCCGCCACCGGGTCTCCGAGCTCTCAAGCCCCACTTGGGCCCTGCAGCCCTCCCCACCGCCGTCAGTCACCTCCTCTGTTCACACCAAAAGTGTCCTTGTACAGTGACCTTCCCTCCCGATCTCGGCCTCTTCCAGTCTCTGCCTGGCGCTGAGGGCCGAGTGCCCGGGTTCACCCTCCAGGCCCCTCCGGTGAGGGCACACGCCCTGCCAGCTCCTCTGCTGAGTTGTCTGCCCTGGTCTGCATCCCCTCCGCCCACTGTGGACACACTCCTGCACACCCAGGGCCCTGCTCAGACACACACACACACACACACACACACACACACACACGTGCGCCAGCCATGGCGTCCAGCTCACCGTGGAAGTCCAGAGCGCTGAACTCCATCAGCGTGCTGGAGGAGAAGTTGCTGAAAGTCTCTCTCAGGGTCCGGAACTCCTGCTGCAGCTGCAAGCCTTGCCAGGAGACACCCAGACCAGGCAGTGTGAGCTGCCTCACAGCCTGCCGCCTCCTGTCCCTGTGACTGACCCCAGTCACTCCCCGCATGGGGCTCCATCTGCACCCGGAACCTGTCCACACTGCCTCCACCTCCTTCCATGTCTCCCCACATCTGTGCCCGCCACCTGTGCCACCTCCCCCAGTGCACATCTGTGCTCCACCAACTGTGCCCGCCTCCTGTGCCCACCTCCTGTGCCCGCCACCTGTGCCCGCCACCTGTGCCCGCCTCCTGTGCCCGCCTCCTGTGCCACCATCTGTGTCCCCTCCCCCAGCGCACATCTCTTCCCTTGCCCTATCCCCGCAGCCGGGACCTCACTTTGGGATGAAATCACACAGACGGCCACCAGCAGGAGGACGTTGAGGGCCAGGGCAAGCAGGCTGAGGTGGAGCCTGGAGCAGAGGCGCCGAGGAGGGGGCCCGAGGGGGGGCTGCCCTGGGAGAGACAGCGTGTCAGGAAACAGCTCCAGGGCACTAGAGAGCAAGACACAGAACGGCACAGGGCACAGGCGTCTGAGGAGGCAGAGCCTGGCCACACAAGAATGGCTCCAAGTGGGGCTGAGGGGATCACACACACACACACACACACACACACACACACACACACACATGTGCAAGCACTCACTCGCACATGACACAGATGTGCCAGCTGTGAACACCTGGGACAGGGAGAGACGGAGAGCTCTCTGCAGACTGGCCTTTCCTAGATACCCTAAAAGTGAGGTCACAGATGGGCCTCCTTCTTCCCCATGGAATCTGCGCATCCCCACACCCATGCCTTTTCACCCTAACAGACACACAGTGTGGCACACGCCCAGACTCTGGGACATCCACACACCTCGCCACGCACCGCTGCTCACAGTGTCACACGCCTGCAGCTCACCTGAACTGGCCTGTCCGCCGCCTCCTCTCCCAGCCCCTCCCCCTGCTTTTCCTAACCACATCAGGCCCGTGTTCAAAATGTGCAAGAGAAGGATCTGGGTGGGACGCAAGTGGGAATCACTCAGGGTGTCTCCGTGCACATTTCCACACCCACCTCATACTCATCCCCTCACCCCAGTCCCGGAGCCAGCGTTCCTCCTAGGCACATACATGCACACACACACACACACACACATGCACGCAGGCACACAGGCACTCACACACACACACACACACACACACACACGCACACATGCAATCTGGAGGGAGAGTCACCCTAGTTCCCAAGGGCCCTTGCTTCTAGGCAAACACCCTTTCCTTGGGCCCCTGTGCTCCGAGAAGTCAGGAGCTCACAAGGAGAGTGACGCTGTGCTGGCTGGTTCTGTGTCACCATGACACAAGCTGGAGTCATCCAGAAGGACGCCCCAACTGAGAAACACCTCCGCAGAACACGGCCGCAGGCCAGCCTGCAGGCACTTTCTTAATTGGTGATGGATGGGGAGGGCCCAGCCCATGGTGGGTGGTGCCACCCCTGGGCTCGTGGTCCCGGGGTCTATAAGCAGGGTGAGCGAGAGCCTCAGGGAACGGAGAGTGAGCAGCACCTCCGTGGCCTCTCATCAGCTCCTGCCTCCAGGGTCCCACCCCCTTTAGTTCCTGTCCTCGCTCCCTTCAATGGTGAATGATGATGATGAAAGCCCTTTCCTCCCTAAGTTGCTGTGGCCGTGGAATCCCATCTCAGTGATAGAAACGCTGACTAGGACAGACACACCCCAGATGCGGTGTGAGAGATCCCTCAGGGGGAGAGAGGAGTTGGCAGCTGAGACAGGAATCAGGAGACGCCCCAGAAGGGGACACTTGCCTTTCCAGAATGAATGCTCTGTCCTGGGCTTCGGTGCATGAACGCCTTGCTCCTCATCTCCACCAAGCTGATGGTCGTTTTCCTCAGAGTCCAGCTGCTGGATGTCCTGGAAGTCCTTCTCCATGCTGGGCCCCACGGGCTGGACACAGATATGGGGCTGAGTGCAGGCTGGACCTCGAGTTTGCGCTAAGATGCAGACTCCTGTGGAGGGGCTGAGAGGCCCTGGGTAGGTAGAGGTGAGCAGCTCAGAGGTCACACAGAAATTTGGAGACAGGGTCCTGTCCCTTCCCGGGAGCTGGCTGGCCCATTGGTGCAGCCAGAAGCCTTCCTCCCACACTCTCGTGGGCCGAACTGTCCACCCCGATCCTGCCCATCCCCCAGTGCCCCCAGTGCCCCTGAACCTTGTTCTTCAGCCGCAGAAACCCCCAGCCCTGCCTGCCTCCTCTGCCTCAGTTACCTGTTAAAGGTAGAGAGTGGCTCCGGCTCCCAAAGGGAAGGAGGGTTAAAGCCAGGAGGAGTGGGCAGGTGGTGACAGGGAGGGGCTGACCTAGGCAAGAGCCAGTCCCGATGTCTAAGTCCATCTGATTGTCACCCCTGCCCCTGGGACTTCGGACAGTAAATTGAAACACACTTGGAACTCAGTGAGTTGCGGGGGTGGAGGACATGGTTCTGCTCTCACAACCAGAGAAGGGGAAAGGTCTCGCGTGTGTCAGGTCTCCTGTGAACACACACATGCGCATGCACGCGTGCACGCGCACCTCACCCTTCGTTGCAGTTTCGGGAGGGCAGCCAGGTGTGGAGGGCCGGGACACGGTTTGCTGTTTCCACCCCACACCCCGCCCTGTTCCACTTCCTGCCTCTTCACTTTCCAGAACTGTTGATTTCTCCAAATATCTCTGGCCGGGATCAAAGCGACCTACAGATCAGTTCCCTGTTCTTGCCCAATCTGAGCCTGCGACCCTGGCACCCCGCCACGGCCACAGCTTCCCACGTGCTCGGCACCGGGCTGTGCAGCTCCGGCCTGACCCGCTCACACTCCTTTCTTCCTCCTCCCCCAACTCCTCCCCGGTCCTCCTCATCTCCCACATGTTGTAGGTGGTATTAATTTTTACTGTTGATTTATCTTCTGGTAATGCTGCTGTTAATCCTCAGCAGCTGTATAACCAAATCACCACACAGAGACTGGGTTTTTAGTTAACTTAGAACACAATGCTGGGCAATAGTTAACTCCCTCCTAAACTTCCAAGCCCTCAGTTTCCTAACATTTAGATTTCCCACATTATACTTGCTTTTTGTGAAATCTTAGGTCTGGCTCATGCTCCATGTCCTCCAAGATCTCTCCTCCAGCTCTGCTCTCCTAAATCTCCTCTTGCCCCTTCTCCTCCCACTCATCTCCTTCCTTCTGGCTCCTCCCCTTTCCTGTCCTCTGTCTCCTCCCTGCTCAACACTGTGTCTAGTTGCTTTATTTTGTTCCTGTTTACACAAGAGTTGAGACAGGATGCTTATAATGAGTATCACAATGCAATATTGGGATTGAAACCAGAGAGTTGGGGGTGGGGTGGGGGAGAAATCAGTATTTAAATGAACAGGGGTAAGGTGTATACATTAAAAAAAAAAGCATTACACCAACATTTCTCCCTTTAAGTTCAATAAAAGGCTCCTTTTATTTCAATACAATAATAATTATGAAATTATGAAAACTGTTAGGTAAAATCTACCTGTGCAATGTCTAGTCCATGTGTATTTAGCACATGGAGAGGGTATCTTAGCAGAAAGTGTCTGATTATCCTATCTATCTTGACAAGTTTAAAGTTCTATATCTAACTTTTATCCTTATTGTTATTACCTATATGAAAAGATTTCTTAACTTCTAAACAACTTAAGCTTAAATGTGGTACTATAATTATTTGGTCTTCAACCCCATCAGAGACTTGAGAAGAAATAAAATTAGTTATGAGAGTAAATAGGAAGTGCATATTAGCAGCTTCCAAAAAATAAAAATTGACAGAGACAGTTTGCTACTGAACAGTCACCCATAAGTCTCTATAATGTTGGAGCATCATCTTCAGCCTTCTGGCTCAGAATATTTTGACAGACATATACGTGAAGCAGGAACTATTTAGGACTTGCTTACCCTGTCTTGGCAGAGCTCTGCAGTCGACTTGTCCTGCATTTAAGCTTGCCCATTTTAGGCAGAATTTGTCTGTCCTGAAGCGAGGGTATTTTCTTTACCTGAGTGGCTTGTTTGCCACATTTGAAGCCATCTCCATATGGAGGTTCTTCTATGCTCATTATCTTCTTTCAGATAGACAGGATGCTGCCAGGAAATGACTTGTCTCATTGTCAAAGAATCTTTAAAATAATAAGAACATTTTAAATGCCATATTCTGTAGGTCTCTGAAGCTTTTGAAGACTACCTATCTTTATGTAATCTATCTGTATATAAAATCATATCTATCTGTTAAACCTAGGATGTATACTCCTCTGATAAATTAGACTAGTGTCTGACATGACTATGAGTTGAATAACTAATAATTAACTTGCATACCTAGTATCCTAACCACCTTTTAATAGTAGTTTAAAAGTATTGGAAGTAACCTTGACTTTCTATCAATATACTAAAGCTTATACCAATGTATTAAAAATACTTATTTTTGCATTAATATGCAAAATTCAGAGTTAAAATTAACCTTATTTGGGAATAACAAATAAAACCTTAAGTTGAGTAGATTCAATAATCTACCCTTTTTCTATTTCTATAAAATATCCCTGTATATTCCTTGTTTTACTTTGAATAAGACCGTTAATAATAACTATCTCCTAATGACAATAAAATTTCATAGCCATAGCAAACAACCAAAAACATACCCAACCCCCTTTAAAGGAAATTGGATGCCGTTCTCATGAGTTTCTTTTAGCTGACATTGTGGACATGTAGAAATCCTGTAGGGGGCCCAAATAAAAATGTTAATTAAGCAAGCAATAACATTTGTGGTCCAATAACATTTGAATGTTGAGAAATTTCAGGCTTAATAAAAGTCCTTTTTTGAACAGTCAAAAATGCTGGACCAGTTAAAATTAGTAGCTTTCTTCAAAGTCCTATTGGGAGCAGGCTTTGATGAGAAACGGCAGTTGAAGAAGTTGAGGCAGAAGCAGAATGCTGGAACATGCAAGATGCTGGAACAGGTGTGTCAATGTCTCAGCACGCTGAAGAATGATTCTGTTAGGTTTGATCCAGCATCTCTGGAGTCCAGTTCTTTTGTTCTGCAAACATATAATTTCTCACAAGCATTATAGAGTTCTAAAATTATAAATGTATGAGATGTGCAGGATGAAACTAAACTGTAAGCCAATTTAATCTACATCAATTAAAAGGTTAGCATAATATATGTTGAAGATATTATAGCCAAGGATTTATTGGCCACGTATTGTTGAAGTTTTGGCTGGAGACACATTTTTATAATACATGTTGAAGATATTATAGCCAAGGATTTATTGGCCACGTATTGTTGAAGTTTTGGCTGGAGACACATTTTTATGTCTCAGTTTTAGAGTTGTTCCCATGAAAAGGGATTAGCAATATAAGTTACCATTTTTATTGAACATACAATCATTATCATCAAAACTAGGTTAGATAGATTAAAATATCTTTTCGGGCTCTTGCGTGCTTGTTGTATTAGGCCAAGTTGCTACCTATTTCCCTAGAGAAGCCTCCCATTAGAAAGACAAGCTGGTTGCCTTGAGCAATAGAAAATGCATGTTTTAAGTACACTTTATATAAACTCCTTTTTAATTTAGAATATAAGCATACCATAGGTATCTTGTACCTGTTTTGAGGTTTAGTTCTAGATTTTTATATATGTTGTAGCTATTTGTCCTATCCCCATTTATATAGAACGGGCAGTTATGCCTTTATAGCCAAATTTTATTTAAACTCCCTCTTACCTTTAGCATGTAAGCATACCCTAGGCATCTTCTACCTGGGCTTTACATTGATAGTGGCTATTCTTTGGCTTGCCCTCCTTTTAATATGGGATGGACAGTTTTGTTTTTTAAACATATGAATATAATTTTTGAGTTTTTAGGACTAAAGTAGGTTGGCATGTATTTTGCCATCTTTAAGCCTCTTGTGTCTTTTTTAAATAGGCACAACCAACATTATTCCCCTGTGAAAATGTCTCACGTTTAAAAGGATAAGGCAGTTTCCAGAGCAGTGTGACATTATCTATTTTTACATAAACCTAAAAATGATGTGAATCCAACCTTTAGAGCAGTAAGAATATAACATCTATTATTAAGAAAAAAGAATTTACATGGTAACCTCAAGGAAAATTTTGTCATTTTGAATCTTAGACTGTCTCTGTAAGTGGCTAAACAGCAGGAGTTGCCATCCTGGCTTTTATTATGTAAATAAGTTTGATCCAGAACTCAGATATCTGCCTGTTTCTTTTTACTTTGTGTTGGGAAGAAAGGCATGTGCCTTCACCAACTTGTTCAGATATAGATAGTTTCAAATCAGTATATTTGTAACTCAAAGCCTTTAAATGAAAATCCAGCAAAGAGAAAATAAAAATTTAAGTTTGGGGTCAGTTGTGCCAATTTATGCTGTAACAAACAGAGCCCAGTTGGTTATTTTAGTTGATATTTCCGTAAATTGGCGGACCCTTACCAGAAAGAGCTGACAAATACCTTGCAGCCAGAGAGCTTTGAATTTTAGCCATTATTAACCTAATTATTTGGATGAGTACTATTGTCTGTAACTTAGTACCCCAATCCTTGGCTTTTTCCCCATTTTCTCCTTGAACTTTCTTGGAGAAGGCATGGAGAAGAACTAACACCATTAAATATATTGCTACCAGATCCATGAATATGACAGCCAAAATGAAGCCAAAAGGGATTAAAACACCCTCTGCCATGGCAATTTTTTTTTTTTAATCTTAGATGCAGTTTAGGCCAAATTCTGTCTAGAGGTTTGTCTGCCTCCAGTTCCTTTC